GCGATTAAGGAAAACTACGTCAAGAAAAATTCAAGGAATCAATGTGTTCTCACATATGAAACATTTTACTCTCAAATGAGTAAACTTTAAAACATGCAAGCGGCCAGTCCCTTTCGTATCATTTGAATGCACTTTCCATGTCGATATCGCTTTTCGCACGAACGTCTTTTAAATTCATAGATCTTGAATGATACTTCGAGGCCTTAAAGAAAATGAGTGTAGAAATGCAAATTGCAGCTACGATAAGCCTGCAGAGCAGAAGGATCCCGAGTATGAAGTGCACAATTTCAACGCTCGAGTTTCGAAATCGTTCGATGGTGCACCCGCTTGCGCAGCACCACCACCATTGCCTCCAAGAGCATTCCGTTCGATGCATAACAATCAGCTGAGCAATTTCGAACAAGCTCAGCTCACTGGTCTACCCACTGTGCAGGTACGATCTGTGATAAAAAAAAGCGTTTCCCGCATGAATTATACATCTTATGTTCTCAGTTCTGTTGAATATTTTCCTTTAGGATGTTCGCACGTACTATGTTTAGTAATATTGCAATACGTTTATTTTTGTGGAAATTAACAAAATTGATGCGCCACTTGCAAATTTTAGATCATTTCCATTCAATTTTCTGATAGAATGTGATTTTTTTCGAACTGTCATTCAAAAAATGATACCCTACAGTGAAAACACCAAGAACAGGTTGAATTATTTATCGGATAAACTGAAAAGATAGTTCTCTTGAAATATAATTTTTCCTAAGGTTGCTGAAAGAGTAGGCGTTTATATCATTGTTGCACGCCATGAAAGAGTTATTCTCGGATGAATTTAGAGCGGTTTAACTGTGAAGCTCATTCCAGGTTCGTCCATTACCGATAAGCGAGCGACTTGGTGGGTCGTCGTTGGGAGGTGGCAGCAGGTCACCATCGATCGCCGAATCAGGTCGTTGGAAGTCACGAAGAGCAACAACACCGATCTCACAAAAGAACATCGATGTCACCCGTACTGGCCTACCATCTTCTAATGATGAAACGGATCAGGTAGTTGTACATTCGCGATTGTTCTGTTGTTGTATTTTTGCCGTTTTTCCCAAAGCAATATTACTGTTCCGTCTGACCTCGCAGATTGTAGTTTCTTTCAGTGGAGGAAAAATCTTTTTTTTTTGCAGTTAGATATGGGAATCCATGAGTGATAATGCTGTCAATCAAATGTTAAT